GTGCATACTCCTCAAATGAAAAAGTAAATGACATATGTTGTTGGACATTATCCATCATCTTGTCTGTTCTTAAGAAACCGTCCGGTTTCTTTCAAAAAAACGTTTCGGGGACTGGATTCTGTCCCCGTCTTCAGGTAAAACCTACTCCGGACCGGAGATTGGGGCTAGCTCAGCGGCCTCCGTAGTCTAGAGGGAACGTTCCCACCTCATGACTCGTAGTACGCGGGTTCAAACCCGGCGGAGGTCGTGTAATTTTTAAGGGCGGAAAAATCCAGGGAACAAGTCCGCCGGGAGGGACTTTAAGACGTGGGTCCCGTGTCGTAGCTTTACGGCACGTAAAAGAACCTCATATCTCCTCAGGAGGTCACTGAGCCAAATTCAAGGACATTTCCCGCCCAACAGTAGTCTCTAACGCCTCTGATAGATGGGGGAAGCATTATAGATACCGCCAAGCCAGTAGTGGCCGAACTCGCTGGCTTGGTCGGGACTGATGGTAAGCACCAGTATCGGTAGGGTATAGAGACTGGTAGAATATCATAAGAGGGAAGCACAATAGATCAAACTGGTCGCGGTGCATGGGGAAACCCACCTTCTCTAAATAACTAACTAATAACTAACTAGGGGCTAGCTCTGTCTATTGGACCCAACTGTGTAGGTTTTACCTGAAGACGGGGACAGAATACAGTCCCCGAAATGTTGTGTTTTTGGAAAGAAACAGGACGGTTTTTTTTAAGAATAGACAAGATGATGGATGATGACAACAACATATTAATTGTAACTTATATTACATTTGAGGGTTTGTTCCCTAAATCAGTTAAATAAAATTATGTTTACGGCACATATAATGTTATATAGCCTATGTCTTGTTGAACTTCTTATCATTGTGTTTAGTGTTACAGCAAGTAGGAATGCTTCTGTCTTGATTCTAAGATCTATATACAGTATATTTGTATATCTGTCCCTAAGTTACTTAAATTGTTCCTTGCAATATATTTAAGTTTGTAGGTGTTGTCGTTTTTGTGCCACGTCTGCAAGCGTGTTCATGCTGTTTTCTTGGCGTAGTTATGGTGTTTTGTATTCCACCGTTGTCCTATTTTATTCAGTTATGTTCCATTTGTTCTGAAGCTCGCATTCCGCGATCTGCTTCTGGTTGTTCTGAGGGACTGCTAGTCCATTACACGTGTTTAATGACAGCGTGTACACTTCCGTTGTTTAATAAGTCACAACTTTACCACCATGTGCACAGTGACTACACAGAGAAGGACTTTGGCGTCTGTTACAACCGAACAAATCGTTCAGTATTTTAAGATATCTCCTCAACCTCATTTCTTTCTGGAGGGTTCAGTTAACAGTTCAGATATACAGAACTATAAGTCTGTTCCTTACATTTTGCTTTGATAAAAGAACAAATATATTTCGCAAAAAGACCTGTGCTTTACTCAGCGCACCTTACCCCCCACCCCCAAACTCAACCATTCTGTAATTATGTCATTTACTGCTGTCAGAATATTAATAGGGTGATCATATCGAGGAAGATGATATGGGCAGAACATGTACCACGCATGATAAGGATGATACATGCATTTGGAAAACATCACTGGGAAGGCCTAGTCGTAGGCAGAAGGATATTGAAATTGGGCACGAGGTAGCGTAGTTGGTTGAGGGGCTATGTTACAAGCCGGATGGTCGCGGGTTCAAGTCCCGATGAGGTCGCTGAACTTTTTTCAATTGACCCAATGCTTCCAGTCGCACTAGGCCCTGGGGTTTACTCAGCCTCTAACAGAAATGAGTACCAGGAATTAATTTAATAATTTTCCTGGGGAGTAAAGCGCGGCCGGCGCCTAAGACTGACAACCTTACCGCCATCTTTGAGCCGATTGTCTAGATAATGTGGGACCCTCAACGTCTCACAACCCTATGGGCCTCCACGGCCTGTTACAGGGATAGCTTTAGTTTTACTTTTTTATATGAAGGAATTGGTGTCATTGTGCACAGACTGAACTAATGGCCGTCTGAAAGGCGAGGCATTCTCTAACCACCTAAACGACTATGGGCCTTTCAAGTAGGACTCTGCCCCGCTGAGTTTTGATTTGTGGGATCAGTATTGCAGGTGCAACTTCTTTTCGTGTTCTGTCATTTGTTTTTGTAAATGTTCCCCTTATAACATGCTTCAGCTTTATAAGGTCAGTATTATTTCATCAAAACTAAATCAATCAATTGAAACTAATTTTAACCCAGCTTCAGAACAATGAACTGGAAAAGGCAATACAGTGCAGAAACTACACAGATGGTCTCATAATGTCGAAACTTGTTGCAGAAGTAACATTTACGAAAAGTGTCAACGCAACACACCAACAAACTACGAGCACGGAGAAATTGCACCTTCAAGATTGCCCTTACAAATTTAACTTATTAAGCAGTGGAACACGAAGCTGCAATATAACATCTATGGAGTTAATTAGTCAGTTACGCTGTGCATTAGATTTGTAGTGAGTAATGTGGCACAGGTTTAGAACTGTCCATGCTTTTGAACCTGATCATTTTGAACCAAAATAAACAGCTATTTGCCTACTCGACTGACATAAGACTGCAGGACGTGTGTGTGAGATACTCCCAGGGGCCAGATACCTACCGTTATTCGCGAAAGAACAGCGTCGGAAGCGCAAGTTGAGGGCCGAGCCGGACGGACAGCTGTCCAACTCAGACACTGGGTCCGGACACTCCGTTGTGCTCTCTGATCCGTCGTTTACGTTGTAGATGAAGTTGAAGCGTCCGTTGAAGGGACAATACACTCGTTTGATCTCTTCCCCTCCTAGGTCCTTAGTTTCTGTAAATAATAATAATAATAATAATAATAATCCAATTCAATTCTTTATTATTTATGTGCTAAGTCAACAGCCGCAAGGCCAATTACAGACTTAGCACAGTGTAGATGAAAGTAATTACGTGTAACATTATACAAACATTAGTCAAACACATTATAAGTCAAAAATAAATTACAGGCAATTTCTTGGGTAAACACAATAATGAATAAAAGTAAACAAACAAGCAAATAAATGATAATAATAAC